CACAAACAGATTGGGTATATACCCTACAGTGTCCATCCACCTCGGCGTTCAACAATACCGAGTAATTCCTACTTGGAGCCCAGCTTGTTAGCTCGACACTTCGGGATAACCAACACTTAGAAAATTTTTTGCACACATAAGGCTTTTTTTGAATCACTATGCTTCATTAACAAAAGTTCCGAGTACATGGCAAAAAAAAAACAAAACAAAACAACATATAGAAAGGAAAGCAATTGCTACTACAACCGAGCTCAGAGGCCCGAGACATACACTATATACGAGGAGTCCAAGAAAAGAAGCAAGTTCCAACATCAGACTTTCCAGAATCTCCTCCAGCAGGTAGGTCGGTCTCCATGTGGTCCTCCACACCGTCTCGACCTACCTCCTCTGAGGGTCTCACTTCGAGGACTTCATCATCACTTTCTCCCTCGGAGGAGTCAGGTTCCTTGTCGGCCTCCTTTGCCATCTTTGGAGTAACGGAAGACATGGAGATGGATCCTAGGTTAAGCTCGGGAAATTTATGCCGCACCAACCACCTGCGAGCTTGAAGCCCGATCGATAAGAGCCGGAACCGTACTCAACTTGGAGGTTGTGAAACTTGGGAGACTCCTTGAACTCCTTGACGGCACGATCTCTTTCCTGAATCCTCGCCTCCTAAATTGTTGTGTCAAAGATTTCGATGCACTCCTTAATCATTGCATCAAGATTTTCATTCTCCCGGTGGAGAGCTTCCTTCTCCCCCTTGAGCTTCTTCTTCTCCTCCGTTAGCAGCAGAATTAGCTCCTCCTGGCTCTGAGTTCCCTTTTTCGCCTTGAGAAAGTCACCCCAAGCTAAGTCCAGCTCACGGTAAAGCTTCCAAGCGGATCTCAGATTGATAGACTAGCGAGCGGATAGCAGAGTTCACCTGAAAAGGAAAGCAAGCGTAAGTATCATTGAGAAAAGGATAAGAAAATAGACGAAGAGGTACGTTACCACCATACAGTAGCTGGATGCTCTTCCTCCGAGCTAACTTGTTGGCATATCGGCCCACTCCGCGATCTCCGTAGGAAACACTACGTCTTTGCTTTTAAGGAGCCTGAGCCTCGGAGTCATTATGCTCTCCTTTGCTGAGGGGGGCTGAGGCTCGGGCACTGAAGTACCTTCGGGCTCGCGGGGTGGGGTCTCCTCACCCCGATCTTATTCCAGGTCAACAACCAAAGGATGGGGACAAACATCCTCCCCTGAGAGCTCGGCAGTGGTTGGCTCTGGCGCTGCAACTTCGGGTTTGGCCAGAACCAAAGAGGTAGCCTCCTCTCGATGGGACCTTTTCGAGGCCTTTCTCTTCTTCCCCTTCTGAACACTCTTCAAGAGGTTAGCGGCGTCGACACCCGTCATAGCTCCTACAAAAAAAGGAAGAAAAAGAGAAATTTTTTTCTAGTCAGCTACGAACTGGAGTAAGCGCAAATAAGAGAAAAAGAGAGAAGTAATGTGTGTGCCGGGGTAGAGGTCTACCAGGAGGACTCAGCCCAGCTCGCACAAGCTTCTCCTCGGCCAGGAAATCTTCCATCTCTAGGTCAAGGCCCCTCCAAGAATGGATGACCGCCCTGGTCTCTGCATCCAGCCTCACCCTGGGGTCTTTAATGGCCACTCGCCAGTGTGTCGGGAATGGCCATCCTTCGGGGCTCCGAACAAAAAAGTACCTTCTCTTCCAAGTGGATACCTTGTTTGGGTTACCAAACAAAACCTTGAACCCTGGGCGAGGTGAGATATATTAACTTTGTCGAGTGTCACCGAGCAGACAAGAAGAATTTTTCTTAATGGAACAAATCGAGCTAAAGGTATCTAGGGAGAGAGGTCGATTATACTCGTGGAAGAGTGACATTGTACAAACAATAGTATGGATGGAGTTCAAGTGAAGCTGATCAATGGTGATGTTAAAAAACTTAGTAATTTCTATGATGAAAGGGTGGAGCGGGAAGCGCAACCCAGCTACAAGTTGCTCCTCAAAGACCGCGAGCTCGTAATGGTCATGAACCCAAGGGTACTGACCCAAAGGCATGCTGAAGACAAGAGTATCGGGGAGACGGTAACGAGCTATTAAGGACAGCAATCTGTCTAAGGTCATCGTGGAAGGACCGAAGTTGTCTGGATACCGACCTCGAGTAGAAGAAGAGACCCCCTCTCCGAAGGTCGGCCGCTTTGCCTGAGGTTCAGGTTCCTCAAACCGAGCTGGCCCGATGTTGGGTAAAGGCACTTCTCCTGAAAGGTTCAAAGAGGAGCTCTCTAGCAAAGAGCTAGCCTCACCAGTGGGAGCTGAGGACCGCACCTCAGCACCCTTGGGCTCACTAGAATCACTAAGTAGCCTATCTGTGCTAACACTAGACATATTGGACAGAAAAAAGGAAAAGGAAAAGGGGACAACTAGCACAAGAAGACGAACTCACCAAAGAAGGCAGTAACGACCTTAGACACAAGGGGAGAGAATGGCGAGCTGAAGGACTTCGATGCGATCTCAAGAAAGCTCAGTAACACGATTTATGGTGAGGATAATGGGCCCTTCGGCCCCTATTTATAATCCACCGCATCCGGCAATCAACAGTTGTGATCTATATGATCCGACGGCTCCCATGAAAACGGTTGCACGCTACCCGAAGACGAAATCGGTTGAGCGCGTCCTTTGACGTCAACGAAGTTTATAAACAATGTGACGTCCGCACGTAGCCGAGACGCGATCTGGGTCACTTCCTAGTTGAGTCGAATGGTCGAATAGGTCCGACCAACGGTTCGCCCTCCATATCACCTAGACTTCGTACCAAATCCACCTGGGCTCGTCATGAACTCCCCGTGCCGGGTCAGGACCCCTGGCACGAGGAGTGAGGGGCAATTGATGGAGGGTGATTTGGCACGACCTAGTAAGTAGAGGTCACGTGGACGCGATCTGCCTGAAGGATGACAACTTAGCGAAAAGAGCCCAATCAGCAAAAGTTAGAGCTCAGGTATTCAGTCACCTCAGCTCAAAACCACCTCGGCGTAGAGTCATCTCGGCATAAAGGCACCTTGACACCCAATTTATTTCAGGGCCAAAGAACCGAAGTGCCAGTTCGAGGCCAAAGAACTGAAGTACCAGTTTGGGGCAAAAGAACCAAAGCACCACGTAATCAACTCCAGAAGCTTGCCCAACAGACTACGAATTTCCCGGGATCATGACGTCTAATAACAAGGCTCATCCTCACTTTGTCCGAATCGGAGCAAAGTGATAAACCTTATCAACTGGTGCATTGTTCTCCTTCGGAAACGGAACGAATCTTATCTATGCAGCCCAGAGATCCCAGAGCCTTTTCCTAAGTCTCACGACTACTCAACTATATAAGGGCATCAATCCTCAAGGCGAAGGTACGCACAATTACTCACACTCAAGCTCTCTAGCATTCATACTTAGCTCGCAAACACACAGAATACTGACTTAAGCATCGGAGCGACCTCATCGGGTCTTCCACCCCGGTCCCTCTGAGCACTGTTTTGCAGATTGATCCAGCTCACCACGCGAGTACGCCCAGACAATTCTCCAACTAGGAGCTTCCAGATCGCGCACCATCATGATCCATAATATTTGCCTCCAACTCTTTCCTTGGTGTATCCTCCAAAACTTCAGGTGGTATAACAATTAGGGTGAATCTAGAAAACCAAATTAAGTAGTTTTTTGAGTTCTACCAAATTTAAATTGTTTGGAACAAACATGATACATGCTTCACCCCAGCAATGATGAGTTGTATATGCATCAGTATTAAGAGGTGGGGGAAGTAGCCCCTTGAACTTGGCCATACTTCTGGCAAACTCTTTTACAACTAGTATCACTTAGCCACATAACCTTTCTAGTTTCTACATGGAAGATAACCACTTTAAGGATATCTAGTAAACAGGGCCCTGTGTGGGACTATCTAGACAGAGATCAAGCCTCCCCTCTCAAATATGTGCTGGGAAAAGTGGAAAAGACCATAACAGATGATCAAGCCTATGAAACAACCTGGCTGATCTTACAAAGCCCACACTGTCGAGCTGCTGGAATCAGATGATTAGCTCAGATGTAGTTGGTGCGCTTGTGTAATTATATACATGACAATGATATAGGGAATGAACGCTCCTTTCCTTGAAGAGATCTATACAGCATACTTTTTGAGGCTTGGCCCTTAATAGAATTCAACTACCTTTTTCAGGAAAAAAAATATTTCATGAAACTATGGGCACCTTTTTTGTTTGAACTGTTTTGATCATATGAGTGATATCAACAACTTTCCATGACCACACATGCTATCTCATAATTATATAGAAAAAGTAGATATTTCACTATACATCATTTCTTGTTCTTCTTAGCTACTAAAACCAGGAACACCCTAACAGATTAGAAGAGATTCACTTGGGAACGATATCTGCATTAATTTGTTCATTCATATACTCTTTTATGTATTCGTTAATCATTATTCACCTAATCACCACTAAGAAGGTCAATTTGTTAAGGTTGCCATGACCAACAAAAAAGTTGACAAGCAAATTTGTGGTTATATGTTAAAGTAAAACCTATAAAATTAAGTTGTTAACAATCAAGTGCTAAGTACAATAGTTTTCCCATGCTGAGGAGGGAGGCAAGTATGTCTTCAAAGTAGAAACAAAGAACCCCAAACCCAATCCAATATATTCTCAATTTGCAGTAGTTCACCCAATTTAGAAACGACTTTCACTGGTCCTACTAAATTGACTAGAAGAATAATATCACAATGAAAGATTGTCTCGAATACGAGAGAGCTACATTGCATTCAAACTGAAATTGCAGTTCGGAACATGCAAGAATAGACTGCAATGAAGGTTATGTAGATTAAAGTTGCTATGGCGTTGCTGAAAATGAGACCGGTAAGCCGACAAGAACTCGGCCAAAATTCTAACGGGTGAAAGGTTCTTTCTGGAACCTAACACCAAGAAGAGCCATGAACAGACAAACAGAGAGAGAGAGAGAGAGAGAGAAGTACCAGTGGAAGGCTTTCATGGGCTTGATGAGAGAAGTACCAGTGGAAGGCTTTCATGGGCTTGATGAGATTGACGAGATTGGCGTAACCCTTGATGGCTTTTTCTATCTTGCCGGATGGTATGTCATCCTTAAACTTCGCCAGTAGTATATGCTTCAGCACTCCCTTCGCCTCCTCCATTGCCCTAAGAAACCCTTGTCTCTTGCCTCAATGCCTCCTGCGCGCCTCGTGTATCTTTGTCTCACACTCTCAACTTTCAGGAGTCGGGAGATGTTCCCGATACAAGACGGGGATGTGCTGCGGGACGTTGTGAGGGCAGTTTTGCGGGGAATGCAGCATTAACGTTTACCCAAAGAAAAATTGGGATTTACTCAGAGAGAGCACCTCACGCTGTGGTGATGGGATTTGCTCCCCTCACAAGGGACGCCTTACGGGCACATTCACCGTAAATTGATAACATTCCCGTCAAACGGGAGATGTTCTATGTGCGTGTGAGGCGCTAGATGTGAACAGCAGATCCGGTTTCCCGATTGTAAACATCTTCACACGAATAATAAGGTATGGGAGATGTTCTCGATGTAGACTGGGACGCGTTGTAAGATTGTAAGGTTGGTGTAAGAGGATACTCCATGTGACTTACCATATTAACTAAAACACTTCTATAATTAAAATACAAAAAGCTCCCCTGAATTTTTTTACAATCATAAAAACCTCTTCTATAGTTTCGCTTTAGCAAAAAACCTCCCTTACTATTTTAAAAAAAAAAATGACAAAAGCCTTCCTTTCGTCAATTATCATCACGCAAAATGTTAAACCGATGATCAAATTTTTGCAAATACCTATTTTACCCTTTCCAAATACGCTTGACGATTTCCATCTTAGTAAGTTGTTGGAACATTCTACCATTGATCATCATATAGTCTCTCAGTGCACTGTAGTGTCTCCTAATGCTTCTAGCAGAGTCCGCAGATAAACGCCCTGCGCTCCCTCGACCTCTTTCTTCTTTGCATACAGTTCTGCGTCTGCAACTTGTTGGCGAGAGCAAAAAGATGCCTTTGCAATTGCTTTCTGTGCCTCGGCCTCTTTCTACTTTTCATACAGTATTGCTTCTTGAACCTTGTGTTACAAACAGATATGTATTTGGACGTTAATTCCTCATAAATCGTAGAAACTTCATCAAGAACAGTTGGATTTATTTAGAAAAAAAAAATAGAAAGAGCATGACTGGATTGATCGGCAATGCTCCATACCCGGGTTTCATACTCCACACTTGCCATACTCAGTAGCTCGACCCTGAGCTTCTCTGTGCAGGTCAATGTGTTCATCCTCTCAACTTCTCTCTGCAACTTAGCCTCTCGGATGGTCATCGCCTTTGCTGACTCCACTTCCGCCATCTGAGCCTGCCGAGTCCACCCCGCTTTCTTTGCCGCCAACTCCGCGTTGGCCTCTTCAGCATCGGCCTCCTTCTGGTTCTCATATATCCCCACATCTGTCTTCACCTTAATCTCTTCCTTCTTCCCTTCTCCTTGCCTTTGGGTTGATATGACCCTTGTCTGCCCTTCATGAAGCTTTAGCCTGGTTGGCAGCCTCCATCTAGGTCTTTTGGCCAAGGTACGAGAAGTACTCATGACCAGGCACGTCGACCAGCTGCTTAACGTTGGCGTTGTAGATCAGAAGGCCAAACTGGTTGAGTTCCAGTTGAACTTTCTCGAACACTTTTTGCTTCAACTCCTTGGTTCCTCTGAAGATTTCCTCCATGGTCATCGACGCTGCCAGAACTCGAGTCTCACCCTCGATGATCCCTTGAACAAGCTCCTTAACGTCGCTAGAGAGATGGGATTGAAATTGTAGTTTTAGCCATTTCTGACTTGCCAGTTATATGTCTAGTATTTCCTTTTTCAGTCAGTTTGTTTTCCTCCTATAAGCCATGGCATCTTCTCTTCTGCAGGGATTGAAATTGATGATGAAGAACTTGCCCATTTTGTGGAACATGTGGACAAGGATAACTATGGAATTATAACATTTGAAGAAGGGAGATATTTTCTTCTACTCTATCCCCATGAGGCTACTATTGAGAATATTTATAGGTTATTCCAGAAGGCATCAGCAAGCATGTCCATTTAAGCAGATATTTAATAGCAGGAGGTGTTGCAGGACCAACATCCCGTACTGCGACAGTTCCTCTTGATTGCTTAAAAGGTGGTTTTGCAAGTCCAAACAACACGTGCTTGCATTATGCCTGCCAATAAAGGACATATGGCGGGAAGGTAGTTTTCTGGGATTTTTTCGAGGGAATGGATTAAAAGTTATGAGGGTAGCACTGAAAGTACTATAAGGTTTTACACTTATGAAATGCTGAAGAATTTGATTGTCAATGCTAAAGGGGAAGAAAAGGATGATATCGGTACTTCTGGGCGCCTTGTTGCCGGTGGTATTGCAGGTGCAGTTGCACAGACTGCTATTTATCCAATGGATCTTGTAAAAACTCGATTGCAGACTTATGCTTGTGAAGGTGGAAAAGTTCCTAAACTCAAAGCTTTAACAAAAAACATATGGATTCAAGAGGGGCCTTGAGCCTTCTACTAAGGTGTTGTCCCATCTCTTCTTGGGATTATTCCTTATGCAGGAATAAACCATGCTGCATATGAGACCTTGAAAGATATGTCAAAAATATATATTCTCCATGATTGTGAACATCGCTGGGAGAACGAAGGGGAGCTTTTCTGCGCTCATAGCCTGTACTTTGAATGTGTAGTTTACCGGAGAGATGTCGAAGACAGTGCAAGATTGCCCCGGAAGGACCCATGCCTTCTTGGCGAGCTTGACGTCTCGTATCTTGACACCGGTGATCACTAAGTACTTCGACGGGCTTGCCACTTTACACATGGCTATGGGCGAGTACCGTAAGAGACGTAGAAAAAGAAGAGAGAGAGAAAGATCGGATGTAAAAGGGGCCAAATTTGTATATTTATAACCAATGGGGACCCGTGCATGGCACGGGTTTTTGTTACGAGAAGATGATTACGAGGTTGATGGGAAGGGAAAGATGACGATACATCAACAGACATATTTTCATAAAAACATGCAAAAGGGTAAAATAGATATTTGAAAAGATTTGATCATCGATTTAACGTATTCCGTTATGATTATTAACGGAAGGGAGGTTTTTGTTAATATTTTTAAAAATAGCGGAGGGGTTTTTACTAAAATAAAATTATAGAAGAGGTTTTTATGATTGACAGAAAGTTAAAAGAGAGGTTTTTATATTTTGCCCTTTTCATAAACTAATGCATCATCCACTCAACGCTCTGTTTTTCTTACAGAACCATAAAATGACATTTTTTATTTTGACCCCAACATCCATCGAGGTTCAACCAACATTTTCTTCTACTTTTTTTAATCTTTCTTATCATTCAACCATGTTAGCCAAAAGAAGGAAAATTTAAAGAAGTATTTTCTTTTCTCGTCTCCTACCTAACCTCTCTTTTCAAAAAAAAAACGGATTTGACTTAATTAACAAATGATCCCACGCATAAAACTCAAATCAATATTGGAATATGTTAAGCCCATAATTTTTTGTATTTTTTGTTGTTTTTAAAAGGTATTTAATTATTTATCTTTTTTAAAATTTATTTTTTTAATTAAATAAAACAAGCAGAGAGGCTCCGGCATTACAGGGGCAAGTGGAAGGTAAAATATTTAAAAAAAAAGGTACATATATCCAATTAATTGGTTTTATTTAATCATATTGTCAACCACATATATAGGTATTCCATCATCTCAATGGAACAGACAAAAAATTCTTTATATATGATGGCCCAATGAATAGCTTTTAAGGTTATGAGTTTAATTAACTATTCAACCTGTGTTTGTCTTAATTAAATACATGCTAGAAAATTCATTGCACAGTCGTGTCGACACGTGGGCCGAAAGTTAAGTTCTGTACATTCCAAGATTAACAGAGGCCTCCAAAAAGGTATCCCACCCTCTCAAACGCTGCTTGAAATTGCATCTCAACCACACTTCTTTAGCACTGAAAGTTAAGTTCTGTACATTCCAAGATTAAATATCAGAAATGACATATATTATTCATAAATTGAATGAGACAATGTGAGTAATTGATTTATTTGTTGAAGATTAGTAATTAATTGGATCTTACTTGAACGAAATAGAAAATATACCATAGACCATAGAAAATGAACAGACTATAGAAATAAATCATTCCAATTTCAATTCCAACTACGAAGCAAATGCACCTGAGCCTAATCTATCTAAGTTAATATGTTGAAGCTGGGCATTGCTTTTCTCATATCATAGCCGAAAGTGTGGGACCACTGACCGCTTCTTGATTTTCACATTTAAACTCTGTATCTTAAATGCCAACCCTAAATCAAAGTAAAAATTAAAATGTGTTTGATAGGAAGCATATGTTGTGAGCCAAGATGAACCCAAGTGGTAGTACAGAAGAACCCCAAGCGGCAAGAACGGAAAACAGAAAATAAAACGAGAAGAGCTCCCAAGTGGCAAAAAGAAATATATATAAAGATCAGCAAGCCAATATATCTGTCCAAGAGAAAGAGAAGAAATGGTTATGGATGTAGAGCATGCAAGTGATGAAGAGACAGATCCACAGTGACGGCAGATCTACGAGGCAGCACAAGTGAGGGAGATCTACGAGGCAGCGTGCATTAGAAGGCATGCTGCCTCGGATTTCTTTCGGTCGCCGGATTTCGTCATCGGATTTCTTCCTCGGATGGCAAGGTAGCTTTCCTTCGGGTCGTTGGATTTCTTCCTCGGATGGCAAAACAGAGCCATCCTCGAATGGAAAAACATGGAGACCTTCTTCCTCGAAGGTCGCCAGACTTGAAGGTTGCCGTAAACGACAAGGAAACTCGAAGCTCGCCTCCCTTTATCCCTCGAAGGTTGCCAGACTCTCTTGGAGGGAAAAAGACACCTTCTTCCTCGAAGGTCGCTCTGTAGGCTCTGTTTTACACGTACAAAGCATCTGCACGTGAAGTGCAAATTCTAATCGCACAAATAGATTCCATTTTGCGTAAGGAAAGAGCATGCATTTTATAATTATATATATATATATATAGATAATTCAAATGCTCAATCGCCTTCTAAGACTTTTATATCTTCTCATTAACCGTGTCTCTATCCCCTTCTCATTAGCTCTTCAAATATTTTTTAGCGTTGATTATGCCATTAACTCAGAAGATGGGTTTCGTCAACATATACAGGGCCACAAAGGTGTCAACAGCGGTGTGAACTGTGGATCCCGCTACACAGATTTCTTTTGATATATGAATTTTATACTTCTGTTTTTCTATTTTTTATTTTTCTTGTTGAACTTTGTTGTTCTTTTTCCTTGCTTTTTATTTGCAATAACATGTTAATCCATTGCATTGTGGTGTCCACAATGAGAGATGAACTGTGGATCCCGCTACACAGATTTCTCCTGTTCATCCATTATACTATTCGTCAACATATACAGGGGATCCCGCTATACAGATGATCCCCTATACAGATTTTTGATAAATTTAGTAACTACATCAGAAAATTAAAAAGAGGAAAAGATATGATACGTGCATGTGTGCACTAGACGCGCAGCAGCCGAAGACCCGGCCAAAGTTGATAGCAGCAGAGACCCGGTCATATTAGCCCTTAGTTTGTGGATAAGCCTTAGCCATTCGGTTTTAATTCTGTTAAAATAGATAAGTCTGTTTCTGTTTTAGTAGATAAGTGCATTCTGTTTTTTGTTGATAAGCTCCTAAGATTATGGGGGCGACAGTTCCTATTTCTACTCCTAATTTGTAGCACAATAAGGCTATAAATATATCCTGAATGAATGGAATAAGGCATTGGCTTTTCCTACAACCAAACTCCCTCTCTCTTCTCCTTATTCTATTTCTGAATCTTTTCTCCCTCGTCTGAGAACTTGACCATATCATTGGTATCAGAGCCGGTTCGACCATGGACACCCGTGGAAAGACCAACGCGGAATTCTGCAATGAAGTCAATGAAACCTTAGCACGACATGAGTCAAGCTTCGACCAGATGAACACTGTCTTACATGCAGTGTTAACCGAACTCCAAGCCCTTTGACCCTTACGAACCACTCCCAATACCACTCCCGAAACCAACCTTTTCGCCCATGAAGAATCCTCACACCCACATACTTCCCACTCCAGCTCCACCCATAACCATCCTCATCAACACGTCAAACTATCGTTCCCAAAATTTAATGGGGATGATCCGAGCAGTTGGATTTACAAGGCGGAGCAGTATTTTGAATTTCAAAATATTATTCTGGACCAACAAGTGCAACTAGCTTCCTTCCATTTGGAAGGCATCGCCTTGCAATGGCACAGGTGGTTGACAAAGCATCGCGGACCGCTCATATGGGAAGAGTTCTCCAAGGCTGTGTTGCAACGGTTCGGCCCCACTAACTACGAGGACCCCTCAGAAGCGTTAACTCGCCTAAAGCAAACCACCACTGTAACGGCTTATCAAGAAGCCTTTGAAAGGCTCTCCCACTGAGTTGACGGCCTGGCTGAGAGTTTTCTCATTGGTTGTTTCATTGCAGGACTTCGTGATGACGTCCGTTTAGATGTAAAGATCAAGCAACCTCGAACCTTGATAGAGGCGATTGGAGTGGCCCAGTTAATTGAGGAACGAAATCACTTGCAACGGAAAACTAACCAGTCGGTTTGACCCCCAGCCATGATATCCCAGAAAGGGTCACCCAACACCATGGCCGGTGTACTCGGGCCTCCACCTACCCTGCGCACAAACCAGGTTCCCAGTGCTCCTCCCTCAACATTCCGGCGGCTCACCAACCAGGAGGCGCAAGAACGTCGAGAGAAGGGGTTGTGTTACTACTGTGATGAGAAGTTCAACCCCGGGCACCGCTGTGCACGCCCACAACTATTCATGATCGAGGATCCAGAACCAGCGGACGTGGAGACTGTCTAACCAGAGGAAGAAAACCAAGAAGTCGTCCCCGAAATCTCCTTCCATGCGATTGCAGGAGCTGAGCACCCGCAAACCATACGTGTTCTTGGTAAGCTGAAAAACAAGAACGTGACAGTACTAATCGATGGCGGCAGCACCCACAACTTCATTGACTAGGCCATCGTCTCCAAGTTCGGGTTGCCAGTGAACCGAGACAAGAAATTTCAAGTTATGGTGGCCAACCGTGAAAAGATAGAGTGCATGGGGCAGTGCCGAGCTCTCACTCTCGCCATTCAAGGACATCCCATTACCACTGGCTACTATGTTCTTCCAGTTGCGGCATGCCAGTTGGTATTGGGAGTACAAAGGCTAGAGACGCTTGGACCCGTCGAGATGGATTACAAACAACTGACCTTGACGTTCAAGAATGAGGGACTCTTTTGCACCTTCCAAGGATTGGGACGAGCCAACATCGAAGCCTTAACCAACAAGGAATGCAACGGGTTACAAGGTACGGGATTTTTTTTTCAAATAGTTCCTTCACACAGCAGCGGCCAACCAAGTTTCTTCCCACCTGAGATGGACCACTTCCTAACCGAATTTTCCCATGTGTTTGAGCCGCCCGCCAACCTGCCTCCTCAACGACCACATGACCACCGGATTCCACTGCTTCCCGACAAAGGACCAGTTAGTGTGAGGCCATATTGATACCCGTATTACCAGAAGACCGAAATAGAGAAGATGGTGAGGGAGCTTCTGCAGTCAGGGCTGATAAGGCCAAGCAACAACCCATTCTCATCACCGGTTTTGCTAGTGAAGAAGGCTGATGGAGCTTGGTGGTTTTGCGTGGATTACCGAACACTGAACGACATCACTGTTAAAAACAAGTACCCCATTCCTGTGATTGATGAATTATTAGATGAGCTCCACGGGACCAAATTCTACTCCAAACTGGATCTACGGTCGAGGTACCATCAGATTCGGGTACAAGAAGAAGACGTTTCTAAGACGGCTTTCCGGACACATGAAAGGCATTATGAGTTCTTAGTGATGTCGTTCGGCTTGACCAATGCACCTGCAACTTTTCAAAGCCTCATGAACGACCTCTTCCACCCATACCTCCGGAAATTTATTTTGGTCTTCTTCAACGACATTATGGTTTTCAAAATCATGGGAAGACCACCTATCTCATTTGAGAATTGTTCTAACACTATTATCCTCTCACAAATTATTTGCAAAAATGTCAAAATGTCAATTTGGTGTTTTGCAAGTCGAGTACTTGGGTCATGTGATTTCAGAGCAAGGCATGTCAGTTGATCCAGCCAAAATACAAGCTGTTCTCGCATGGCCTACACCGACATCGGCAAAGGGGGTTCGTGGCTTTCTCGGGTTAGCAAGATACTAGCGGAAGTTCATCCGCAACTTTGGAAGCATTGCAGCTCCCTTGACCCAATTGTTGACCAAGGGGGGATTTCAATGGAACGAGGCAGCAGAGCTAGCCTTCCAGCAGTTGAAGAAGGCACTCACTTCACCACCAATCCTATGTCTTCCGGATTTTTCCCAATGATTTGTGGTTGAATGAGATACGAGTGGAACTGGGATTGGCGCAATCCTCACCCAGCATAACCGACCGATGGCCTACTTCAGTGAAGCATTGAAGGGTTCAGCCTTGGCGTTATCCACCTATGAGAAGGAGATGTTAGCTATTGTCAATGCCAATAAGAAATGGCGCCCATATCTGCTTGGAAAACCTTTCACAGTTCGCACCGATCAAAAAAGTCTTAAATATTTACTCGAGCAGAGGATAACCACACCGGCACAAACTCGGTGGTTGCCAAAGATACTGGGGTACGACTACGAGATCGAGTATAAGAAAGGAGCTGAGAATCAGGGTGCGGATTCCTTGTCGCGTATGGCCGAACTTCAATTTTTGTCCATCTCTATACCACATGCAGACTGGTGGCCGACGCTATAGGAAGAGGTCAAACAAGACACATTTTATGAAGAATTGATGAAGAAGCGACCCTCCCACAAGTTGCTTCAACGAGATGGAGTATGGTTCAAGGGGGACAAAATTTATTTGAGCCCCGCCTCCACCTTGATTTCAAAGGTGATGGCGAACTGCCACTCATCCCCAGTAGGAGGGCACTTTGGGTTTCATAAGACCCTCTCTCGCATCAAGCATAGCTTCCTTTGGCCTAACATGCGTCGGACGGTGAAGGAATTTTTGCAGCAATGTGACGTATGTCAGCGCTTCAAAATAGATTGCATGAGACCAATGGGATTGCTTCAGCCGCTACCGATACCTGCTCAAATGTGGACAAACATCTCCATGGACTTTATCGAATGATTGCCTCCTTCCAACGGGTGTACGGTTATCATGGTAATTGTGGATTGGTTGACAAAATATGCCCACTTCATTCCCTTAAAACACCCATTCATTGCCACGACAGTCGCTAAGGCATTTGTTGCCAACATTGTCCGCCTACACGGAGTTCCAACATCCATTGTTAGCGACCGTGACAAGGTATTCATCAGCTCATTTTGGCAGACACTTTTTCAGATGCATGGGACGAAATTGTGTATGAGCTCAAGTTACCACCCCCAAACCGATGGGCAAACCGAAGTTGTTAACCGAACGTTGGAGCAATATCTATGGTGCTTTGTAGGTGACCAGCCGCGGAAATGGTTAGAGTGGATTCCTTGGGCAGAATACAGCTACAACACCTCTACTCACTCTTCCACCAAAATGACACCCTTCGAAGCAGTCTACGATATCCCACCCCCAAGTCTGCTAACCTATGTACCAGGTACTGCTCGAGTAGGGGCAGTTGATGAATACTTGTGTGACCGGGACATCATTCTACGCGAGTTACAACATAACCTCCAGGTAGCTCGGAATCGAAAGAAATGTCAAGCGGGCCAACACCGACGTGAAGCCTCATTTGTCGCAGGTGATTTCATGTATGTGAAGTTGCAGCCTTACCGGCAGACTTCAGTGGCATTTCGGCGTTCCATGAAGCTCGCCCCACGTTACTTTGGGCCATACCCAATCATTGAGAAGATCGGTCCAGTGGCCTATCGATTAGCCTTGCCTCCCGACTCCCAAATCCACAATGTGTTTCATGTCAGTTTGCTACGGAAGCACTTGGGACCAATCACCCCAACTTCCACCCAACTTCCCCCAATCTCGGATACTTCAACCATCCTACCCCAACCGGAAGCAATCTTGGATCGTCGTATTATTCACAAGGGCAAATACCGTCCAAAGTCCAAAATCTTAGTCAAATGGGTTGGGGCACCTGCCGAGGACGCAACCTGGGAAAATGAATGGCACTTCACCAAGTCATATCCCAACTTCCTTGTGGACAAGGATCCTTCAGGGGGGGAGGAAATGATACGTGCATGTGCATGCATGCACTAGGCGCACAGCAGTCGAAGACCCGATCAAAGTTGATAGCAGCAGGAGACCCGGTCATATTAGCCCTTAGTTTGTGGATAAGCCTTAGCCATTCGGTTTTAATTCTGTTAAAATAGATAAGTCTGTTTCTGTTTTAGTAGATAAGTGCATTCTGTTTTTTGTTGATAAGCTCCTAAGATTACGGGGGCGACAGTTCCTATTTCTACTCCTAGTTTGTAGCACAATAAGACTATAAATATAATCTGAATGAATGGAATAAGGCATTGGCTTTTCCTACAGCCGAACTCCCTCTCTCTTCTCCTTATTCTATTTCTGAATCTTCTCTCCCTCGTCTGAGAACTTGACCATATCAAGATATTGGCGAGGAACAACTATAATTATTTACTCTATTTTCCACAGAATTACTGTGTCGGTCTTAAAAAATATACTCAAATTGATGGGTTCCTTCTTCCCATTTTTATTTGTTTTTGAATTATTGAGTTGGTCGAAAGGAGCACCGACTTTGTTTATGGGGGAGGCAGCATTGGTTTAATGGGTCTCGTCTCTCAAGTTGTTTATAACGGCGGAAGATAACTAATTTAATGGAGCTTCTGGGTTTGAAAGGTTAGGATTTTGATGAGCCAACGTCCCTTTTAATTTTTTTGTTTTATTTTGAAAATTTGAAGTAGAATAAAGGGTGAAATAGTCTTTTTCGTCTTTCTGTTTACAAACGCTAAAGTAAGGGAAGTATTAGTCAATTGTCGGAAATAATAAGGGTAGTGTTAGTCAATTTTCCAACAATAAGAATAAATTTAGTCAATTAGATAATATCCATTTAAAATTAATATAAAACTAATACAAAATTATCTAACAATTATTAATTTATTACTAATTTAAAGCCAACTTAAATTCCACTAAAAATAAAAGTTTAATATAATTAATTAAAATTAGTAAGGATTAATAAAAACCAAAATTAATAAAATTTTATTAGTTTTAAATATAGTTTAATTAATTAATAATCAATTTAACTTCTCTTGTGTTTTGAACTTTTGACGTTAACAAAAACCATCCTATTGTTTTAACAAAAAAGGTGTACATACCTTCCTCTTGTCATCATTCCAAATGGAAAATGCTGATGTAATGTATTGATTTTTTTTTAAATATCAAATTTACCCTTAACTAACTTCATTCAAATGTAAATTTATTAAAATACCTTAAAAAAAATTGCTCCCTTTTACTTCACTTCAGCCTTTTGACGTTACTTCATCAAAAAAGAGTAGAGAAAATTACTCTTTGAAAGTTGTCAAGTAAAATAAATTAGTGGATGCTGAAGTTGAAATTTTAAATTGTGTATGATAACACCTTAACAATGAGTCAATGATAAAAGGTATTTTGATAACTGAAGCATCTTTGTTATTGAAAATCTAACAGAAAGGAGTTGTATTTGCATTTTTTTTTCAAAACCATAGGGGAGGTTTTTGTTAGAATAAAGATACAAGGGTGGTTTATTAAATTGTCATAAGAAAAGTTTTTTTTATAATTTTACCTAAAAATAATAACAAACCAATAAAATTTTAAAACTAATAAAAATAGCAATAAGATTAAAAAAATACAAAATTATCTAGATTATAGGAAATTGACCACTCACACTAATTCTTTGGTTGTGATTAGATAAATTAGACATAACCCCAAAAATAATGCTTGAATTGGGCCTTGGATAGACTTGTTCATGGGCCGGGCTTTCACTCAGTATTAACAGATTTTTTTAAGGCCCGAGCCCGAGCCTGACCCTCATAAAAAGCCCTAAGCCCGGGCCTAGGCCCGAGCCCGAAATTTAGCCTATACTGTTACTATTACTACTACTGCGAAGTGGTTGAATAGAGAGAGAGAGAGAGAAAGATTATAAAGAAAAGAATAAAATATATATATATATATATATATATGTATATATTAAATTATAAATATATATTTTAATAAATATTATATAATTTATATATTTTATATAATATATAAAATACATATTATATATTTTATAAAATATATAATGCTGAGTCAGGTCGGGCCGGGCTTTTTTGACAAATCCCAAGCCCGGACCGAAACACAGTCGGGCTTACTGTGTTAGGCCCGAGGTCAGGCCTGCGGGCCTAATTACATGACCAAGCCCGATCGGGCTACGGGCCGGGCCATCGGGCTACCCGGCCCATGAACAGGTCTAGACTTAGATGGCCACTACTAAATTGGAAATGTCATAAAGCTCCTTCCTTATTTTTTTCTTAATAAAGCCATGCATTGCACGAGTCGGTACTAATTCAATTTAAAGCTCAACCCATTAACAACATCAATTTTCTAAGAGAAACAACCATTATAAATTATAAAAGCAAAAATAAGTTTAAATATCTCATCAATGCAAAAGATAAAAGGGATTATAATTGATAAAGACAACTTTTGTGCCCTAATATCAATAAAAGTAATAATTTTAATAAAATTTAAAAAATAAGTTAACTTTATAAAAATAATATTAAATAAGGACAAAAATACTATTCATCTTTTTCCTCTTACAAATTATTTATCACGCTCGCCGCATGCGTCTGCCCACCTCCACCTCCGCATTTGCAGACAAGACCAGACGGTGCAGATCCGCCATAATCCCATAAACTCCTCTCTTCCAGCGACTCCTCACTCGATCAACTCCTCTCCTCCAGAGCTTGATCTTCCTTTTTACAGAAACCACCATTATACAGTATCTCTCATATAAACCATAAAAAATCATGAACTAATCTTGAAAACTCATCTCCCATGCTTGGAAGTCTTTCTTCTGCAGTTCTGCATGCGTGTTAATCCCGAATTTCTAGTTGAGACGACACCTCTTCTGCCATGGTCTCGCTTGGAGAATCTTACTCCAATCAACTTCCTTCAATGCAGCCTCGCTCTTCTTCTTCTTCTTCTTCTTCATCTAAGGTCCAAAGGCTTTAGATAGATCCATGCGAACCATTCCCTCGAAAACCTTAACGGAAATTCCTCCCGAGTCTGGGTCCGGTCGATGGAAATTCCTCACGAGTCCGGGTCCGGTCGATGGAAATTCCTCCCGAGTCTCAGAAACCTTAATGGAATCCGTTATCGATTTCAGGCTTAGAGAACTTGCCATGGAGAGCAACGAACCAATTAAATCATTGTTTTCGGATTTTGATTTGCTCGAAATTTCCCAAGCTATTAGCAATTTTTCGGCTTGCAGTAGCGACATCTCAGGGGAACTGCAGAGGTTAGCTTCGCTTCCGTCATCAGCAGAGAAGCACAACTGTGAAGACTCAGATCTCGAGAACGAATCGGGGTGCTCACGGTACCGAACCGTGAGCCTTTTTTGTGAACCGAACTGATAGTACCGGTTCGATTAACCGGAACCGAACTAAAATCAATCGATTAACCAGTTGATCGATTCGATTAATCGACGATTCGGTTCGTCGATTTTTCGGTTTTTTTGATTTTATAATATTTATTATAAAAATATATATAAAATATTATATTTTAAATAATAAATAATAGATAATATATTATAAATATATATTTATATATATAATACGTATTTATTAATTTATAGTACATAAAATATATAATATACATAAATATATAAAAAATATATAAAAAAACATATATATCGATCGGTTCAATTAACCGCCGGTTTTTTAAATTGATTAACCAAAACCGAACCGATATTTTTGATTTTTTAAATTGATTCGATTTCGATCGATTCGATTTTTCGATGAAAGACGCGCTTACAACGCTCTACAAGCTTTGCTGGATGAAACGGACCAAAGAGAGGGCCGTTAGCGCGGGAACCGTGAAACCACTAGTGGTCTTGATTCCGGAGCAGGGGAGCGGTTTGGCGGCGAAGGCGATGGTGGCTCTGAACAGCTTAGCTGCAATTGCAGAGGGAATAGAAGCAATTGTGGAAGAAGGAGGGATTGTGGTTCTAGTGGAACCGACCGAAGACGGGTCAATGAAAGGAAAGGAGTTTGCTGTATTGACGCTTCTGCAACTTTGTGCTGACAATATGCACAACAGAGGATTGCTGGTGAGGGAAGGTGGAATCCCTCCGATTGTTGCGCTCTCTCAGACGAGAACAGCTCGAGCAAAACAGAAGGTTCGTTTGTAACGCAAATCGCCCATTATCATTAAACATTACTCGAACAGTACAGACTAGATAAGTGCATGAATTTAGAACTAATAAATCTAAATGGTTGTTTTTGACAGGCTGAGACGCTGCTTGGATACCTGAGAGAGCTCAGGCAAGAAGCTTCGTCTTCGAGTCCACAGACTCCCTGTGGAGATGCTGCTTTAGTATTACCCCTAGTGAGTTTCTATTGATTGCATCTGCATGTATATAGCCAAGTGGGTTTGATGGGTTTATAGTTTTGTACAGTGTGTTCTGCGAGAGCTGCAGGTTGAAAAGAGAAGCAACAATGGAGGTAGAGAGAAACTAACAGTGTGTTCTGTTTGAATAGTCCAAATTCTGTTCAGGAAAAAAGAGAAACAGTGCTTAAACTGAACTGAGTTTGTTCAATTATTCTGGGCGGCGGCGGCGGACAGCAGGGCTGATGAATGGTTTGAAAGAGGAAGAAGATAAACAGTATTTTTACTCTTTGATATTATTTTTAAAAGATTAATTAATTTTATTAAAAAATTACTTTTATTGATATTAGGGCCCAAAAATTGCCCTTAGATAAAAATAATACAATATTTAAAAAAATAAAAATAAATAAAATACTAAATAAAGACAATAAAATGCATGTACAATCATATGCAAAAAACATAACAAATAAGAACTCATAAGAATAATATTATTCTCAATAGGTTCCGATCAAGAAAAAAAATAAAGGTGATCAACAAAATATGAATTATAACTGGTCAGAAGTCTTGCGATGTGGGCTTTATTACACAAAACTGAAGCACCAAAAGCCTTATGATATTTCTAATTGGGTCAAGCTGAACGAAGTCTAACCAAACATTATTTAGAAAAAGTAATACTTTCTATCATTTTCATTAATTTTTATTTAGTTTAAATGGATTTTAATTTTTATTAGTTCTGTAATTTTTATTAATTATTTTTGATAATTTTTTGTTATCTATTATTGTTATTGGTATTCGAATTAATAAAAATTGATTTTAATTTCATAAATTATTTTTTATTTTTGTTATAAAATTTAATTATTTAAATAATTTAAAATTAACAAAAAATCATTTTAAAAGTATAAATAAAATATAAAATTATGTTAATGACTTCAAACTAGTTTATACCTATTTTGATTCATATAAACAAGAATTAAGGTATCGATACAATATTGCTGATACGGGGCGGCGATATATCTGTATCCATGACTCGACTCGAATCTCAACTCTCGACTACTGTATGACAAGCTGCTAATGGTCAAAGTTCTTTTGGCATCATAGAGTTTCCATATACCATAAACACTGTCTAGAAATTCCTTCGTAAAACAACTAACAAGTAAACAACCTGATAATTGAATTGTATTTCACTTTTTGAGTTGGCAAACAAAAGAGTTGGTGAAGAACACTGGTGGGTGAGATGACACCACGCCTCCTCAACTTGGTCCACTCCTACTCTAACTCAACAACTCGACTCGCTAACCTCCCTCTTCAAAACCAACCTCCTGGCTCCTCTTCCTCCACCATTGCCCCTCGAAGTCGTAGCGTGCGAGAATGGCAAAGGATCCTAAACCTACGATTGAGATGAACAACCTCAAGTTCACGTATCCCGGTCACCCTCCGCCCAGTTCCACACCTTTGATCGACGACTTATCTCTGTCTCTCTATACCGGAGACCGCTGCCTTCTAGTTGGCTCCAATGGCGCCGGTTCGACCTCTCCCCTCCAAATTCCTGAAACTGATACAATTCTTAATCATATAGTGTTGACGTTGGTTATTGTTGCTGCTCATGATGGGTCGAGGGCAACAATGTACTTTCACTTCCTTTAGCCAAGGGCTGATAGAGTTAAGGGCCTGTAAGCCTGACCTCTAGAGGAAGAAACACGTCAGAGGCCCTAGGTGATTAGGTATTTATTCTATTGCTCTGTTTTATATCTTCTTTTTTCTCTTTGGGGTTGTCCCTGGGGGATTAGGTATTCAGATACCCCAGGTGATGTATCTTGTATCAGAATTTTAGAGTAGTTTTCTTGGATGCTAAATCACAATACTTTCATACTAATGGAAGGTATAGATATAAGTTGTTTAAGTTTTTTTTTTTGATAAATATATATCAACTGATTGGTGCAATGGCCAAATCTCGAGCTGACAAACATGAAAAGGAATTCAAGTTGAGAGCATTTACTTCATGCAAGAAAACTAGGCTAATAATAGTGTGCATATTTATTGCTGGATAACATTTTCGAGGTTTCAACTTTGAAATTTGTAGATTGATTGTGAAATCAATTTTTGACATACCACTAAATGGTGGTGAATCCCATTGCCCATGCGGAAATAATTCGCTCTGGATCAATTCGTTACAAGCTGATTGTGGTCAAGGGTATCAATATCACAAAACAATGTATTGGTGTGTATCATATGATACGTCTGTTTTTGAATACAACGCAATGCTATTTAGGGGGATTTAAGGGGCTGTCTTTTATGTTCAAGGGTTCAACTTCTGATACCCAAAAGTTTTATAACCAATGAACTGGTATTCTTTCAATCTTACAGGCAGCATAGATTTTACCTATATTCAAGCATAATAGTCCTCCTACAACTAACCCTGGAACATCAGCTTGAAAAAAAAAAAAAGCATTACCCTTTAGAAATGAATGAAATGCAGTTTTTGCATTTTGTGGATGTGGATATTTTAAACCATTCATCAAGAAAAATTACATCTAGGATAGCGCCATAGACGGACCAGACCAGGTTATGGAGCGATCATGCAAGATAGAATGTTGAGCATGCCCATGGGCTACCTTATTACATGAGTAAGACGTATGCAGAAGAAAAAAAGGAGAGAAACTATGGAACGAGTCTCCTGCATTCAAGACAAATGGTGTGATCCTGCCAAAACCACTCTCCAGAATAATACAGTTCATGGTCATACTTAGAGTTTGAGAAAGCCTTAGGCCCCCAGAAAAAGCAAGGGCCTCGGCTTCTGCCAACAATGACATTTATCACCATCATCTAAGATGACTACTCCAACAGCTGCAAGAGACTAGGCGCCAAGCACCGTCTATGTTGACTTGACGTGGTGCAGTGGAGGATTTTGCCATCACTGAGGAGAAACATCTGAAGAATGACGTGCAATTGATTCATTGTCCTCGTAGAACTGAAATGTGCACGTGGATACTTTGAACCCTGATTTCGGTCACACTCAGTATATATGCAAAGCAGATCTATTGAGTTGAACTATTTAAAGGCAAGCTTATCCTGGCCAAACTTGTGTGAACTCGTCAAGGCACAAATTCTTTGATGGGCGACTTTGGTCCAAGACTCTACGACCTTATTTAATAGGAAACAGAACAACCTTAAATAATCATATGGTTCATATAAACAAATTTCAGTATCTATAATCATAAACAAAGTGAACATATTATGGGATAACAAATAACAATAGCTCTTTTCTCACAAAAAGATAAAAAGAAACAAGGGTAAAAAAAAAAATAAAGGACATCAAATAGTATCTCTAACTCTGACACTGATTGCAGCTCAAAAACCACCATAAAAGAAAACATCATCTATGCCTGCAAAAGAAAAGAAGGAAAACATAGAGTTTGAAAAAACACGAGCAAGTGAATAAAAATGTCCTCTCGTGAAAGTCGATCCATGTACTGTCACTGGAAGATGCATACCTTGTTAGCAATGTTGTTGGAGAGCCAGTCCAGTCCTTCGTACAACCCTTCTCCGGAAGTGGCGCATGTGCTCTGGATATACCTGTACAAGAGACAGTGATAAAAAAGTATTACTCAGTTTGGGATTGAGAGGATCTCTATCAAATTTGGGTAATCGATAATAATAGTGTGCATGTAAGTTGATCTACCAGTGGCGTTGGCGGAGGGAATGAAGGCCAAGTTTATCAGTAATCTCAGCAGCATTCATTGCATTTGGAAGATCTTGCTTATTTGCAAATACAAGCAAAACAGCATCCCTCAATTCATCCTGCCACAGTACCCAGTAGCATATTCAAGTTTAAAGAAAATTTACGGAAAGACGGCGAATACAATTGATAATCAAATTGGCATAAGTTGCTAATTGAACATTACAGAATGCCTTCTCTTACCTCATTCAACATCCTGTGCAGCTCATCCCTAGCCTCAACAACACGATCTCGATCATTGCTGTCTACGACAAAGATAAGACCTTGTGTGTTTTGGAAGTAATGCCTCCACAAGGGACGGATCTGAAATTCCCCCACAAGGAAACAATGCACAAATTTAGGACTTCTAACCAAATTAGCCAAGCAGAAAACAATTCTAGTCATGTAGAATTTGACAAATAGTGAAAGGTTTTACTTAAAGCCATCAAGCAGAACAACCAACAGGTTTTACTTTGACAACATTAAATAATAAATTAATCAGGATCAAATAGAAAGAACATGGAAAACGGGGGCCATAAACTTGTCCCTATAAATGTCAGTTGGGAACGTCAATTTCCTTGTACGATGAAAGGCCAAACAGTCCAAGTACATCTCGCTTATGAAAATGTTAAATGCTGATGAAGGAATCTCTAACCAGTAGAACACCATCCAAATAAATATCCAGCAGTTAGGGAGCACTCGGGTGTGAGGAGAGTGGAAGTTGAGCACCTGGTGGATAGACATGTGAAGGTTGGAAAATCACTTGGTTTATTCTTGCTGGGTAGGGAGAAGGTGGTTAGAAAGGCAATTGAACAATTTGAAAGGAGGTAGGAAGAATATAATAAGAAAGTTGCGGGGGGAAGGGGGGGAGGTGTGGGAGGAATGGGAAGGGTGGGAAGAAGGCATAGCTGAGGAGGAGTAAAGTGGGAAAGTTCGAAGGCCAGAAACTGGAGGGGGGAAGGATGGAGGCAAGGATTAAGTTGCAACCTTGGATTGTCAGGGGCTGAGCAAAGGAAGAAGAAAGGTTTCAATGAAAAATATGTTGGAAAATTTATTCCAATAGTGATGTTATTGCAAGATCGAAGTTAGGATGGAGATGCTGGTGGCAGCCATTGGCAAAGCTGTGTAAGATTGGGTCTTGTTTTTCCAGATTTTTTTTTTTTTGATAAGTAAAGAGATTAGTTTCATTAATAGAGAATTAAAGCAATTACAAGCTTTCCCATGGAGAGGCACGAGCTGCATCCTCTCCTAACAGCAGGAAGAAAGACAAAAGAAAAAAGAAAACAGGAAACAGATTCAATCTACAATTGAGCCCAATATAAGCTTTCCCTGTTTACCCCTTGCTTTGCAAGACCATCAGCCATAGAATTTGCAGATCTCCCCACCCATTGTATTCTCACTGTCAAGCTCCTTGTCAGGCAGTTGAATTTTTTAATTTCATTCTTAAAACACCACACTATAGAGTCCGGGTTTTGTAGCCATCCCACTACCACCTTGGAGTCCCCTTCTATTATCAGATGTTCCACACCTATCTGCACAGCTAGCTGTACTCCTTGGAATGGTAACTACTTCCATCGAAGTTCAGCTTCAAAAAATTTTCAGGAGGGGGTTCCCTAGTCAAACTCACTTTAGTCTTTCTAGATGAACAATTAGCCACTGCTAACCAATTCCTCCAAATATCATTAAATGAGAAATTATGGAATAGGCCCAGTGATTTTAGCCATAAGATCACCCTATTTAGAATGCAGTCCTTCATCTCTTCTAAGTTTCTCTCCTTCTCTTGGAAGGTTCTGGTATTCCTTTCTTCCTACACGGACCAGATCAGCGCTGCTCCTGCACACCTCCACATAATTCTTCCTCTTCTGTGCTGCCAAGGGAAGAAAGCAGGATAAAAAAATCAAGCTTGCATCCGCTGGCCTAGCCAACCTGCACCCAAACAATGAGAAGAGCCACTCCCATAACTCTGCAGTAAATGAACAGGTAATTAGTAGATGGTTACAGCCCTCACCATGTGACTTGCAAAGGATACACCAAGAAGGTGAAAGAAATGGATTTAAAGAAAGAAGTGCAAGAGAAGGATCCATTTGGCTTGGGTGTCCAGATCCGTTTATCGGGTTCAGAAGGGTCCAAACACACTATCAAGTAGGCTTAGCAGATTTGTTAGGGACACAATTTCCTCTTCCCTTAGACCTCTACAAAACCCAAAATCCCAATTCGGTGTTAATGGATTATTCGTAAAGGAGCAAAACTTTGACACAGACTCCCTTTTGTACCTTGAAACATAGAACAAAGAAGGGAAGAGGTCCTTCAATGGAGCCTCTCCAACCCAAGTATTCTCTCAAAAAAGAACAGAGTTACCATTACAAACATCATACCTAACAAAACTAAGAAACTGAGGAAGGATGCCATGAATAGCTTTCCAAGGTGTTGCCAAGGTTGCCCGTCGTGATATTCTAGCATCCCACCCATTATCTGAGCGACCATGAATACTACCCACCACCTCATGCCAGAGCCTCTCTCTCTCCACTGACCACCTCCACAGCCACTTCCCCAACAGTGCTTTATTTTTTTTAATCAAATTCCCTAACCCCAATCCCCCCTCCCCTTTATTCTGGCATACCACCTCCAATTTTATCAAGTGATCCTTCTTACCTTCTCCCGGCTCCTAGAGGAAATCTCTCATCACCTTCTCTAGCTTCTTAGTTTTCCTAGGTGGTATCCTAAACACAGATAGGAATCAATGTGATTCTCCCCAAGAAATATAGTTTTTCCTCCAAGAAGTCAACTTCTTTTGAAACCTCTCCATCACTAGACACCAAAAACTACATTCCCTAGGGTTTGCCCCTAACGGAAACCCCAAGTAGGTCATAGGCCATGACGAGATAGAGCACCCTAAAGCTTCTTGCTATAGCCTCCACCTGACTGCCCTCCAAGTTAACCCCAGCTACACAACCAGATCCTTAAGATTTCTCACTTTCTCAATATCGTCCCCTTCACAGAAAATCAAAATATCATCTGCAAATTGGAGATGGGTGACCGGAATACCATCCCTACCTATCCTCCACCCTTTAATCACTTCTTCTCTGTCAACCTTTGAGATCATTCTACTAAGCACCTCTGCTATTAGAGTGAAGAGGAAGGGTGATAAAGGGTCCCCTTGCCTGATACCTCTACAAGCTAGGAAGAAGTCCTTCACCACTCCACTAACCAGGATAGAGTAATGGCATGAACTCACACATCCAAAAATCCAACTGCACCACTTATTCCCGAAGCTACAATTTCTCATTACTTGTACCAAGAAGTGCCAGTCCACCAAGTTATCGGCCTTCTCTAAATTTAACTTACAAACAAAGCCTCTTCTTTTCGATCTCTTCATATCCTCCACACATTCACTAGCAATTAGGATCTGATCTATTATTTGTCTCCCTTGAACAAATGCCCCTTGGGCTTGGCTTATTAAGGATGGGAGAACTACTTTCAGCCTCAAAGACAACACCTTAGCCAAGATTTTGTAAGTGCTATTTACCAAACTAATTGGCCTGTAAACCTTAGGTTTGATAGCATCTGGTTTCTTAGGGACTAAGGCCAAAAAGGTGGCATTGACTCCCGGGCTTACTATATGATTCTCGGCGAAATCCTTAACAGCGTCACATAAATCATCTTTCAAAATGACCCAACAATCTTGGTAGAAATCCATAGTAAAACCATTCGGGTCTGGCGCCTTAGATCTATCCATCATGAACATTGCCCTCCTGATCTCCTCTTCTTCAATGTTCCAATCCTTCTATAGGCACCCTCTCATTCAATGTCCTTCTAAAGACATCTTTAAAATGGTCTACAAAGGTCCTAGCTATCTCCTCCTGATTGGTAATTACTTGCCCTTCTACATCTAATCTATCCACTAAGTTTTTCCTCCTACCATTTGCCAACTCATGAAAGAGTCTAGTATTCCCATCTCCCTCATTAATCCACTCATGCCTTGACTTTGCCTCCAACAAATCTCTTCTCTGAGTAGAACCTCTTCTAGATCCTTTTTCAATTGCCTTCTTGGTTCTCTATCCTGCCCACTCAACAATCCTTGAGCTTTCCTCTCATCCAGCTTTTCAATTTGTGTGAATAAGTTCAGCTTAGCTATCTCCTCCTGATTGGTAATTACTTGCCCTTCTACCTCTAATCTATCCACTAAGTTCTTCCTCCTACCATTTGCCAACTCATGAAAGAATCTAGTATTCCCATCTCCCTCATTAATCCACTTATGCCTTGACTTTTTTTTTTTTATCAATAACACTTTCATTAATTCATCAGTAGAAAATTTACAAGTGGAAGACAAACACACTTATCTTCCAAGAGTCACAAAGAACTTCAAGAAAGGAAAGAAGAAAATACAAAGATACAAGGACACTAACATTACAACTTAGCCCAAAACAAGGAATCCCTTTCTGCCCCTTGTTTTGCTAAACCGTCAGCTATGGAATTAGCTGATCTCTTAATCCAACATGTCTTAACTTCCATCTCCCGCACCAGCCATTTGAATTTCCTCTTCTCATTGTTATACTTCCAAAGATCATTTTGTTCTTTGGTCAGCCACCCTATCACCACCTCTTCTCATTGTTATGCCTTGACTTCACCTCCAACAAATCTCTCCTCTGAGTAGAACCTCTTCTAGATCTTTTTTCAATTGCATTCTTGATTCTCTATCCTGCCAACTCAACAATCCTTGGGCTTACCTCTCATCCAGCTTTTCAATTTGTGTGAATAAGTTCAGCTTTTGTTCCTCTACCCTACCAAAATGATCTTTATTCCACTCCGTCAACTTGACCCTCAGTCTCTTCAGCTTCTGATGGAATTTGATTCCTTTCCACTTTATTTCCCTTAACTCCTCGTTCCAGCAATCCTTCACTACGTTTCCAAATTCTCAAATCAAAATGGTTTTGGTCCACTAATTAGAGATTCCACATCGATCTTGATGGGGCAGTGGTCTGATGTAACCCTAGGCAAGGCTCTAGAAACCAGATTTCCCCAATAGTATTTCCCATTCTAGATTGAATAGAAACCTGTCCAGCTTTGAACAGAGAGGATTATCTTGAAAATTGGACCAGCTGAATCTAGCTTGCATTAATGGAATTTCTTTTAACTCACAATCTTCTATAAATCCGTTAAATTTCCTCATGCTTGTTGTGATTGACTGTACATTATTACTAAATTCCTCTAAGTATCTTGTGACATTAAAATCCCCTCCCAAACACCAAGGCCATCCCATAAACCTCAAATTGCGTACAATTCCTCCCACAAATCATTCCTTTCTCTGTAGGTATTAGGGCCATACACATTGGTAAGTACCCAACAAAATCCATCCTCCACATTCTTGAATTTAATGGAGACAGAGCATCTACCTACTAGCTCCTCCCACCGCTTCCACTACCTCATTCTTCTAGACGGTGACAATTCCTCCAAAGGCTCCCCAAGATGGAGCAGAGGACCAACAAGCACCCCTAGTCCTCCAAAAGCTTCTTATCCACCTTCCATCTAGCTCAGAGAGCTTCGTCTCTTGCACCATCACAATATCAGGCTTCTCTCTTGTTAATAGATCCTTTATTACCCTCCTTTTCATAGCACTTCCCAATCCTCTCACATTCCAACTAATAATTCTCATGGATATACTTGCAATATAGTCCCTCCTGAACTCGACTCCTTACCTAGAGTTTTTCCTCCTCTCTCCCCTTCCGCTAAGCTCAAGATCAGCCTCAATGTCAGATATTAGCCTTTGCACCTTAGTTCTTTTCTTCTTATACTCCTGTTTCATCTCTTTTTCCTCCTCAGGTTTCCCATGGTAAGTTTTAACTATGTCATCCCCCACCCCTAGGTCAACCTCTTGATAATAACTTCCTGTTTTAGGATTCAATTCTGTCCCCTCAACATCTTCTATTTCACCACTCTCTCCTTCCTCACTAGGCAAACCCTTTTTCTGATGATTCACTTCCAAGTAACCTTCCTTCATTCTGGTTGCCACAACTTCCGTACAAATCAGCTTCCAAATTCTCTCCACCTCCTCCCCCACACCCTCACAAGGAACTGACTCTTCCTTCTCCTTAAGTTCATGATTGCCACCATCAGCTTCACCATTTCCTTTAGACACCAAACCTGCTCCTTCAAGGTGGGGATATTAGAGTATCTACAACAGACTGAACACACGGATCAGTAGCAAAAACCGAATGGACACCCATACCTGATTGCAGAGTAGGAGAAAGATGAGCAAACGAGACTTGCGGCTGAGACATTACTGGTAGTGCCCCGTCCATCCCTTTAGTTGGAAGTTGCAGTGAAGTGGTTAAAGTTAATGTTTCACCTTTGTCTATTCTTACCACCGGAGAAGCCTGTTCCTTTTCCTTCCTTCCTAGCCTATCTTCACAGATCATCGGAGAATCATGTGCCTTTGTACTAATTCCGTTTATGGTCTGAGAGGTTGGAGTTGTTCCCTCATGGAAAGGGGGGTGATAAGCCCAGCTTCCGAAGTTGTACTTTCAATCCTCCTCACTTCCGCGTCTTCCTCTTGAGAGCTTCCTTCTAGATAAAGAATCTCTGTGTTGAAACTTCCTTCCTATAGCATGTCTAGGTTTTCTTGCAGGTCAAGACTTCCCAAACTCTCTGTATCAGTCACGTCTTCAGCACCGCTACCTTCTTCATCTAAGTAATCACTGTCTTCAACAAGGTCTAGACCCCGCCATTTTATGCTTCTGGGATTCCGCCTATTCGGGGAGAGATGGTTTACCTTCTTGGTCGGAACCCATTGCTGTGACGAAGTGGCCGAACCTGGCATCTCGCGCACAGACATGAGAGGAGGAGCTCGAAGAAGAAGAAAATAGATGGTTTTTACCATCTATTGCCTCCCCCTTTCCAGTCACGTGTAACTTAAGTGAGTCACGTGCCCCCTTTATTTAACTTGGTTTGGGCCGACTTAAGTTGAGAACACGGCCCACCCTTGGTTTCTTTAGCAGGCCCAACAATTTTTAGAGGCCCACGCATGCTTACTTGCAATGGCACGTGAGACATTACAACTTCACACTCAATGCCCAGACACCCGACTCAGGTTCACCCTTTTTTGGTTCGAACTGGTCTGGAACTTTTAATCTCCCTTCATAACTTGAATTTAAAACATCATTCTTGCCTAGTGCTTTAAAAGCGCAAGGGCCAATTTGCGCCTGAGGCACAAGGTGAGGCGCGCACCTTTTTAAGAAAGGCGCAAAATTACCAAAAAAAAAAAGCTAAAAAAAAGTCGGAAATTTCCAAAAGAAATGAAAAAAATATTAAAAAATATTAAACATAATGTTAATAAAAATATAAACTTAAATTTTAAAATAAATGATTTAAAAAACCTATTATCTAAAATTAAAATACATAAATATAACATGTAAAGTGTATTCAAATGAAAATTTAAAAATAAAAGCAAACATATAAAGCACTTTCAAGCATGTAAAACCTATAATCTCTTTTTTTCCTTAATTGCATTGCTTCAAGTAGTTAATGTGATGTAAAACATATTGCATTCTTGATTTTATGAGTTGCCTTTGTAGCACGCCTTTTAAGTCATTGTTCTTGCCGCCTTTAACCATCTGAGCATAAGATTTACTGCCATCCCTTCTGATAGCTAGCACTCCACGTAATTGACCACCCATCTGCCCCTGCTCTTTTAGTCTCCAGTTTTTGCTTACCCAAATCGGTGAAAGATCTATCAACCTTGGAGATTGCCAATCTCGTTGTTCCACATAGAGCCTCTTCTTCTACCTTCTCATCCCCTTCCCTGCGAGCCTCCCTCCACAGTGTAGCTTCTATGGAGGAGGCCAGCCAAACTGAGTAGAAGCAGACTTCCACATTTATCTCCACTTTCCTGGGTATGTCTTCTGGTTTCACACCATTTAATAAAAGAGCTGCTGATCGAAGGTCCCCCCAAAAGGCTCTAGCAAGATTACCACCACATAAAAGTGAAATAGATGCAACCACTTCCTGTTTCCACAAATGAAAGGGCAAACCTAGAACTCGTACCACCACCCCGTCCTCAGTGAAGAACTCTTTAGAGTTAGATGAAGGATTCCACTTAGAGATTGTAATCGCACCATATTCAGATCGAAAACGTATAGCTGAGAGCTCTAATTTATCTTAACTCAGATCAAGCACCACTTTACTGTTCTCAAAAGGTGTTAGAATAAACATCCCTTTTAACTTCAGCTGTAATACGAGCAGGTCTGCAATTCTCCTCCAGTTGCTAACCGGATTATTAACTTGAACCACATATTTATCTTCCCACTCTTCTCTCCTGGAATAGCCAGCCAACCTGTTTTGTCCATTACTTTTCGCTAGGGCTAGTAGCTCTTGGACCTGGTCTTTATCTTCAAAGTTTGTTGGTTTTTCCATACTCCTTCAATAGATCCATACGCAAGGTTTTCAGGTGTTGGATAAACTCTTCAAGTATTCCATTGATTTTCTTCCATCCAAGTCCATCTTCCCTCAGGAAAGCAGACTAGTTGCCTCCTTCCTTTCCCGAAATATTCAGAAAAAGCTAAATAACCCCCTTCACTGTTTCTTCTGCATTCTACAACATACCTCTTCCCTTCTTGAGTACTCAATTCCTTCCAGTTTCTTTGTTTACCTTTGAGACATGCTTCATTCACATACTCCCTGAACCATTTAATCACTTCCATACCTTGCAATAGCATTGGGGCCTTCTTACCTTCCCTAATTTTCAAGCTCGCCACTCCTTTGTTTTTCAGCTCCTCAAGCAGAAACTCCTTGGCTTCAACCTTCAGCATTCTCCTCCATCGTCCTGCAGCCACAAACCCATCCATAGCCATCTCCTAAACTGACTTCACTTACCTCTGTAACCTCTGTTTTTGCAGAATTTGACAAAGTCGATAAAGAGGCCTCAGGGGTTTGATTTGGGGAAGTTATAGGAATGCAATTTTGTAATTTGATGATATGTTTTAATCATCTCCTTGCTTTCGTTATGTGTTCAGGTGTTACCAAGATTATATGGATTTTTTCCTTTTAATGAAATCATTCTTTTACCATAAAAAAAGAGAGGTTAAAAGACAATTTGGAAAACTTATGATTATGTTAATTGTAGTCTAGTCTCCATCCAGATCAAGACTGTTCATACACCAGTATCCTCTTATAACTACATGTGCATGTGTAATCAATCATAATCATCGTCAGGGTGTCTTGAAATGTCAACCACAACATGGATAGCAATTTCTTGTATAGCTAAAGAAACAATGGAATATGAGGTGGCTTAATTTGATCTAGCTCAAAGTGATGATGGTAAAACATTTTATCAGCACTAGATCGTCCATAAGCATGGTTTCCCAAGACAAAAATAACTAACCATGCATAAATAAATCATGATGATCACCCACAATTCAGGTGAACCAGAATTGTTCAGAAAATTGAAAAATCCGGACAACAATAATCCAAATGTCAAAGTTGGGGCAATTTCAGTTGATCCTTACAACCATAAGGAGCCTAAACATTTTCCTACTTAAGGTGTAAATTTACAACCCAAGATTTCAACATCATCCTTAAATCAGGAGAGTCAAATTTTATACATAATTTAGCTTAATATAACCATACATACCTTGTCCTGACCACCTACATCCCAAACGGTGAAGCTAATGTTCTTATATTCCACAGTCTCCACATTAAACCCTGACCATAAAAGATTCATTAGTTTGAGTTAAGAGTGAAAATAATATAAGCTTAATGTAACTTAGGAATAGTGGTGATCTAGTGGCTATCTAGCAGAACAACAATGCATAAAAATCTGTTACATAGGCTTGAAGTGTTGATTCAAGGGGGTGAACAAAAAATGGTTTAGGGAAATGTATACATTTTTAACCTAGAACATGATTTTTATATCTTCTAACATAAGATAAAAAAAAAATTATTTTCTCTAAATTTTCTAAATGTACATCTTGCAAGAAACTCAAAATCTCAAATTTGCATTCCCATGGTTGAAATATAAATAAACATGAATGAATGAGCAGTTGAACCCCCAAACTAAAAGTTGAATTCACCAAACCAATGTAGGACATGCTTCTACACATTACATTGACATCCAGGCAGAACATTTCCTTAAAAACATACAGGAAAAAAAGCCACTACTGAAATCATTTATGTTATAGGGTCAAAAGCATACCAATGGTTGGAATTGTTGTGACAATCTCCCCCAACTTGAGCTTGTACAAAATGGTGGTCTTACCCGCAGCATCAAGACCCACCATAAGAATGCGCATCTCTTTCTTGGCAAAGAGCCGACTAAAAAGCTTGGTGAAAGACAGCCCCATCTGTGTCTGATGGTTCTACAGATTGCAAGGTGGAAATTCATTCAAGAAGTATGACACATTTATAAGGGAAAAAAAAAAACATTTTTCAATGGATAGAATCTTACTTTTCAAAATGTCACATTTATTATCTCTGAAAATTTAATAATTATATTAGAATCTTACTTTTCAAAATGTCAGAAATTGAAAACTTCAACCAAGTAAGAAAAGCATTTTTATCAAAAAAAATACTAAATCATCATCATCATCCATGCCTTATCCCAACTATATGGGTTCGGCTACATGAATCCGGTTTCACTAATCTGTTCTCTTTAAAACCATATCCACTGTTAAATTATTAGTGCTTCGGCCAAGTTTGGGAGTGCTTATTCGACAAAGAAATGCTTAAAAATAAGGGAAAATTCCAGATTAGTACATTGTACTTTAGGGGTAGTCTCATTTCAGTACAATAATTCCAGAACAATAATTCCAACACAGAATATGAAAATCCAAAAAAATTAAAAACTAATCAAAGAAGTATTTCTTTTATGGTCTATCACTCTTGCTCTTGCTATCTCATTTTGAGGTTCTATTTTTCTTTGAATCTTCGTTCAGTTGTGATTAGGTTCAGAACACAGGATAGAGAGAAAAAAAGTGAGTTTGAATATTTTTTATATGACATACAGTGGTCTAAAGACAATTGTTGATTTCTATTGACAGAATAATGAGAGCAGATATGAACATACGACTCATTCAACTCTTCATCCGCTCATTAGGTTCCTAAAAAAGTAAAAAGGATGGTTGACATAGTCTAATTGGGATATCAATACAGAGATGGAAATCTTCAATATGACCATAAAAAACGATTAGAGTTTCCACATTAATACTAAGAGAGTGAAATATGATCAAAGTTTCAATACTAATAGAGACAAAAGTCTCACAGTACTTTTCTGTTCTCTGTGAAGAAGACAATGAACAGTAAATTTTCTATCAATAACTGAATGGATTTCATTAAAAAATAAATAAGCAAATACAAGGAGGAGAGGAGAGACAAACTCTCTTAGCTCCGACTCCCAGAGAAGAAAACATTACAGCATAGCCCAGAACAAGTTGTTTCTTCCCACCCCTTGCTTAGCCAAAGCATCAGCCAAGCTATTGGCATCTCTCTTAATCCATTTAAATTGAACTTTCATCCCTGAACTTTCTTTTTTCATTTATATACTCCCACCAGTAACTTTACTGTTTCACCATTTTGTTCTCTAGAGAATATGCAAATGGCATATTTGAAATTTCATTATTGTTCTGTACTAAATGGAGAGAATCAAGCACCAATGCAGCTGTACGTCCCTCTTCTGGATCAGTCTCAATGTAGAAGACAATGAACAGTCTTCTTTTGAAGGGTAGTTTTGACATTTTAAAAAGTTTTAAGTCTCACATGTCATCACGTGATACCGATAACTGACGGATTGCTAACGGTAGGGACTAAATTGACAGTTTTTGAGAGTTCAGGTACTGCAGTGGCACATTTTGAAGTTTGGGTACTAAACTGAGACCACCCCTAAAGTACAGGGTATTAATCTGGAATTTTCCCTAAAAATAAGTGCTCATGAGCGTTTGGTGAAAAAACTTATATCAAATAGGGATAGTATAGGTATTTTCAAAATGATATGGCGTGCCAAGACAGGCCAAAAAGGAAATAAGCGCTTATTGAATAAGCACTTAGAAATAAGCCCGAATTTTGGGTTTCCAGAATAAACACTTATTGTCAGAATAAGCACTCATTCCGGGCTTATTTCCCAAATGCCATAAGTACTTATTGGCATGGTAGGTACCAACCCAAAATAAGTGCTTTTCGAGTAAGCACTTACATTTAAGCACTCCCAAACTTGGCCTGAAATCATTTCTTACCACTTCTACCTAGACTTGTCTTTTTTGGTCTACCCCAATCTCTTTTAGCTCCTTCAATGTGTAACAAGCCACTTCTTCTAACTAGCAATGTTGGTGGCCTTCTATGCACATGGCCAAACCATCTTAGGGCCTGTTCGTTTCCTCTCAACTCTTATCTCTAAAGAGGAATTTTTTTATAAACTTCAAGAGAAAATTGGTTGTTCGTTTCCTCTTATCTCTTATCTCTTAAAGTGCAATCATACAACTTGTTGTTTTCCAATAATGCCCCAAAAAGACAAACAAAAACACTCATGTATGGGGTCAAAATGGATATTTGATAATTTTCAAAATTCATAATTCATAATTCAGAACAACATTCTTTGCATTGAAAGTTCAGAGGAAAGAAAAGTTCACCAATACCAATATACCTCTTAATGTAATTATTGCACTTTCAGATGTCAGACTTCAAAGCAAACGAACAAACCCTTAGTCTACTCTCACTCATTTTATCACCCATTGGAGCTACTTCTAGGTTCCTATAGATAACTTCATTCGTAATCCTATCCTTTACAATTTTCCACTCATCCATCTTAGCATTCACATTTCTGCCACATTCATTCTCTGGGCATGTTGTTTCTTCACTGCGCAACACTACTCCATACAACAAAGCTAGCCTTACAACTGTTTTAAACTAGTGGTGCAACTTGGGCAGTGTTTTAAAAGCAAAAGGCGCAAGGCATGGCGCGCGCCTTATTGAGGCAAGGCACACAATTTAAAAAAAAAAAAAGCTAAAAAATAAAAAAAAAAATCCAAAAAAATTTAAAAAAAAATAAAAAAAATTATAAAACATAATATTAATAAAAATATAAACTTAAATTTTAAAACAAATGTTTTAAAAAACCTATTATCTAAAATTAAAATAAATAAACGTAATATGTAAAGCATATTCAAATGAGAATTTAAAAATGAAAGCAAACATATAAAACATTTTCAAGCATATAAAACCCGCAATCTCTTTTTTCTCAATTAAATCAAGTAGCTAATGTGACATATTACATTCCCAATTCTACGAGCCGCCTTTGTGCCACACCCCTCGAGGCAAGCCCAAACAAGTCCATGTTAGGGTCTTAAATTCTGAGTTTTCACACAAAAAAAATAATGCTTTTATAGTTTTTAATTGCTTTTAAGAAGATATTTAAAACCCTAACATGGACTTGTTTGGGCTGGCCTCGAGGGGCGTGGCACAGGGGTCCGGGGGTAGAGCCCCCGGCCCAGCTGCTAGATTGAAAAAAAAAGGAAAAAGCGTCAAAGTTTCTAAAGGCACACCAGGCGTGTGCCTTTTGAATGGGCTGCACCTAGGACCTGGGGCGAAGCGCATAATGCACCTAGGCACGCCTTTTAAATCAGTGAACTTGGGTGGCCCCAACCTGTGCCTAGACTGACCCAACCCAATTTTACACAAGCTGAGCTTGGATTTTCAGTACTTGGACTGGGGCCAGGCCCAACTTTGGCTGTTTTCATTTTCTGAGCTAGACCAAGCCTAGCCCTTAAGTAACCCAAGACTGAATAACCAACCTAAGTCCTGTTGGGCCTGAGCCAAACCCAAATGTGTCAAGTTTTAATTGAGGCTAAGCCTGGGTTGAGTATATTAGGCATGACAACGAGCTCCACCCGAGCTCGGGAATTAAACCCAACTGTTAGGGTTGGGCCTGGTTGACTTAAAACCAGTTCAACCCACCATTGTTGCACCCCTAAGAAAACCACAATGTTCGCTACCTCATAAGAAAATATGATCTGTAACTGAACAGTTTTAGGGGGTATTCTGTATTGTGAATATTCTGTAGTTTGTTATATTCTGAAACATGCCACATCCCATTAGGAATTCTTTTAGAGGTGTGGTGTGTTTTGAAATCATCAATGGATGGTTTTGAAACAAAAAATATCACAATTTATTTTCCAAGCCAAAATCTCATGGATTAGTCCAACCACGGTGGATTGGATAATGTAATGTAACTGGAATATATTATTTAAAATTTTGTTAACAATACATCCACACTACATTGTAGAGTACCTTATGGAGTGATGTGGCTCGAACCATGTGATTTCAACCACACCACACCTTATGGAATCCACGCTGCTCAATGATCCTTTGTAGGAAGGAGAATCGTGTGCTCATCTAACCAATTTGTAAAGCTTTCAATGTATACATCTAATGAAAAATGAAAGAGTAAAGATAGACTACGATTTTTTTTTTTCATCCTGAGAAAACAAAAAAAGAAACTCGAATGGGTTGCTGCTTGCAACATTACTATACTACTCTATCTTTTGCAATAAAATCAAACAAGAATGTGACCCGCAAGTATAGTTTAGAGTAACATACTAGCCTATCTAGTTCTCCATCTCGCATAGTATATAATTGATCAAATTTAAACAGCAATCTTATCTTTCCAAAGGGAAAATCACAATAGCCTCTAAAAGGTAATGCATGTAACCCGAAAATCAACTATATTAACACAAACAAGAAGCCGCCTCCATTACAACAAAGCAACAAATTCTTACAACACATCTACAGGATCCAGAATCGAGGACACGATAACATCTCACGTACAGGTATTAGGCAATCGGAAGGAAAAACATTACAACCATAAAAATCCAATCATAACGATCAAATATGTATCTCAACCCTATATACTTAAACGAAAATAATAATAAAAGAAACAATATCGAATCTCAGAGCCGAAATCCAAGGACAATAAAAAAAACAAGCACTTTGTCATCCAGAAAAGAAGCGAATAGATGAAGTCCCGCATGAAATTTAATTTAAATAACCGAAGGTCACAAAACCAAACTACGTGGACATAAATCAAGCAGCAAGGTACCAATCCCGTGCAACAAAATGGGGATCGGCTTGATCATGCAACAGTTTCAATTATATAAAGGCAAGACAGGAGAAACAAACCGAATCAAGCGAAATCGAACCTCAATTTCGCAAATCAAACAAGAAAAACCAGATTATGTGTTCTCTAAAAAGCACATATGAACCTAATAGGTCTTGAAAAGCAGATCAGATCTAAGCAGGAATCGCAACCAAAGGATTCAAATAATGGAGAAAAACGGCCATAAAAGAGGCAGATCAGAAGGAAAAAAAAATGAAAGAAAGTGCGAATGAAAATATGCTCTTACATGAAGGCGGAGAAAGAAAGCAGTTAACGGCGATCGGAGCGAGCAGATCTCAACTCAAGGGGCTGCCCTCCACAACTCGGTTCCGACTTCCGACGAAATTAAGGGAGATTATAGAAGATGCAGCAGGAAAACGGCCAGTTAACGCACACGTCGTTAAAATTGGCCGAGGACGTAATTCCGTATGACAGCCCTCGTGTAAGAGCAAATGTATTAGAACCGCTGGAGTGGGAATAAAATGGGAGATCTACTAACATGCATTAATTCCAATAGAGGTGGTCTGCGTATCTTACACGAAAGCCGCCCAAATTGAATCGTACCGTGACACTATGGGTAGTGAGGGCAGAATCTCCACCGTCCTTGGTCAGGAATATACTTGTTTCGAAAATACATTTACAAAACCAATAAATATTTATATTCTTGTAAAACATAATTTTTCTATATCTTTTTTCAAATTAAATTAGTTTAATTAGCCAAAGGAATATATTTAATCTTTATCAACAGGCCAACAGGAGCAGTCAAATGACTCCAAAACCCCCATTCTATACACCAATATCCGCCCATGAATTTACAAGATCGGCTTCAGTCAGAGCAAAATCTGTTGGAACATTATTTGAACAGCCTTTATAGCTTTGCAACAAGAAATATTCTATACTTTTATGTTTTATTTCATGGGAAAATATTTCCAATGCAAGGCTATGATGACTGTTCCAATGGACTTTGCTCTAGGGGGGGGGAGGG